GGGATGAGGAGCGAGGTATTTTGCGATGAATGAGCGACTCACAAGGGTTTTCGGTTTCTAAGTAAGTCGGGCTCGTACTAGCAAGCAAGCACCGCACCTCGTGGTATACCTCGACATTTCCAGTGTATATGGTTCTCACGAACATACCCGAGAGAGAGAGAGAGAGAACACAGCCTCCCTCTGCCTTTTCTCCCAGTAAGCTAAAAGCGCGTACCCGAGGGTGTTTTATGAAATCCGGTGTACCTGTGTTAGTTCCAGTACGCGCCAGAGTGAAATTCTGAAAAACGTGCAGCACTTCTAGCCGACATCGACAAAAGTCACTCTCTAGCCTCGCGGCGAGCGACCCTGCCGGAGGCGAAGAAAATTTTGCCATATAGCGCTCTCTAACACACAGTGTTGCACACAAATCGACGCTCCTCCAAACAAGCTCAATAAGACTGGTCTTCACTGCAGCACGCCTCTAGCGAGTAATGCGTCTGTAGGCCAATATAATAGAGCTTCTCGCGCGCACTCTTCAGCTGGCGGTCCGCAGGGCCGCCCGGGTCGGGCGATCAGATTAATTATCGCCGAGGCAGCGCGGCGGAGAGCGCCTCGGCGACCGCAAAGCCGATCCCCCCAATGCCGCCCGTCACCAGGACGTACTCAGTCAGACCATCGACCGGCGGCGGCGGCGGCGCGAGCGGCTCGAGGCCGGCGCCCCTCCCAAAGAGCTCCGCGGCGCCGTCGATGCCCGCCTGCAGCCGCCGCAGCGTGGCGACGCCCGCGGCGCCGTACAGCTCCTCGGGCTTGTCGTGCGGCGAAGCGTAGCCTTGGTAGGCGCCGGCGCGGTGCTGGCCGAGGCTGCGCGTGCCGTCCTCGCTCCAGCCGTCGACAGTAGCGCTCACACCAGGTAGCAGCGGCAACGTGCCCGGCCGCCGCTCGCCATTGCGCTGGTCGGCGTCCGTCAAGAGGCAGATCCACCTGCACGGAGAAGGAGCCAACCTCGGGGGCGCGGAGACGGCTGCAAGCGGCTGCATACGGCTGCAAGCTGCTGCATACGGCTGCACACTGTTGCATACTGCTGCACCCTGTTGCACACTGTTGCATACTGCATCCGGCTGCATCCGGCTGCATGTGCAGCGGAATGCCTCTCTCCTCGAGCGCTAGTTGGGACACGCAAGAACACGTCTTCCGCTTCTAGGCAGATCCACGAGAGGAGCAGCCGCGCCTGATGTGGGGAGACATGGGGAGGGATGGGGAGGGATGGGGAGGTATGGGCGGATCCACGAGAGGAGCAGCCGCGCCTGAGAGTGAGCCCACGTCGACGCCTCTGTCCGCCGCATCGCGCCCCCCAGCTGCTCGACCTGCACGAAGCACTCCGCGCGCGGAGCGAGCCGGCGCAAGGCTCGTTGCGGCGACGAGGCGACCGACCGCTCGAGAGTCGCGGCCAGCTGAGAGAGAGAGAGGGAGAGAGAGGTCAGCCCGTGTGGGGAGATTGCATCTCGGAGTGCGAGATGTGGGGAGATGTGGGGAGATGTGGGGAGATGTGGGGAGGTGTGGGGAGGGAGCACCTCGGCTCGGCGGAGGGTGTGGCTTGCCATCGCGGACCGCCACCACACCGTGCGCTGCGTCACGTTCGACTGCGCCGCGATGGCGCCAAACTCGCACCCCTGCATGAAGTCGCCGGACGACACGCGCGCGGTGGCCCGCTCTCCCCCAGCAGCACGCGCACTGCGCGGCTCCGGCACCTACGTGAGACACCGAGGTCGGGGCGGGAGGACGGCCTTGTACGCTCGACTCTTCAGAGCACCGCGTGAAGACGCGGGGCACAAAATCACAAGGACGCCGGCGGATCACGGCCGCATGTACAGCGGGAGGCGTGTCCTCTCGAGCGCTGGCCCCCCGCTGGAAGGCATGACTACGGTGTCAGCGTCTCGGCGCCGGCGCACCTCGAGCAGCCGCCGCCACCCCGCCGCCAAGTGCCGCCCCCTCGCTCCGCCCCCGAAGGCCCGGCCGCCGCTCCCGCGGCCTCCGCTGCGCCCGCCGCCGCCGTCAACTGCCGCCGTGTCGCGTCGGCGCAGCCCCTGTCGTGCACGGCTGGCGCCGCCGCCGCACCAGCTGCGAGGCACCGCGAGCGAAGCTCCCGTGGCGAGCGCGGCGCGCGTGAAGTTTGCGAGCCGGCCGAAGACGCCTCGCCGGCTGCCAGAGGCGCGGCTCTCCTAAGGGTGAGGCAAGGGAAGGTACGCCTCTCCACTCACACAACGTGGTGGGGCAAGGGCCGGGGCAACCCTCGCATCTCCACGCCCAGACACGGGCAGGAGCTGGCCCGGCACACTCAACGCGCAAGGCCAGTGCACGTGACGTGGGTGAGCGGACCTCGGCAGACCCCTCGTGAAAGTGGTGCCAGACAACGTACTCGCGCCCGACGACAAGGTTCAGCGACCAGCCCTCGTCGTCATCGGTCGCCGCCACGTTCGCGTCCATGGCCGCGGCGGCGAGAGGCAGCATCGACATCGGCACTCTCCCCTTCCATCCCAGCCGCACCACTCCTACGCCGTGGCCGCCTTCAGGAGCGGGCCAGAGCCGCAGCCGCAGCGCCCAGACAACCCCGAGCGTCGATCCTCCTCCGGCGGACAGGGCGGAGCGCAGGGCGCTCCGCCCGCCCTCCGTCTCCGCGACGGTCCCGTTGGGAAACACCAGCGTGAAGCTCAGCACTGAGTCGCCGACCAGGCCTCGCTTGCGAGACGTGAAGGCGATGCCGCCGTTCATCACGAGGCCCGCCACGCCGACCATCGGACAGCCTCCGCCGACCGCGTAGAGGCCGCTCCCCCCGAGCGCCTCGTACACGTCTCCCCACACCGCGCCGGCGCCCACCTCGGCTACCGGCCCGGACGCATCGTTCCTCACGATGCGGATGGCGCGGTGCCGGCCGAGGTCGATTGTCACTCCGCCCTTTGACAGCGCGCGACCGGATGGGTTGTGGCCGCCGTTCCGCACCGACACGCGAAGCTTAGACGCACGCGCCGTCTCCAGAACCGCCTGCAGCTGGCTGAGCGACGATGGCTTGACGATGGCGAGCGGAGCCCGCTCGTCCTGGAGGTTGCGGTTGAAAAGCGTCGCCTCGCTGGCAAAACCGGGCTCGCCTATGCAGGTCACGACACCCGGAGGCGGCACGGCAGAGCGGAGGGTTCGGCAAGAGTGGTGCATAAGCCGCAGTGGGTAGCGCGACCCGACCGTTGTAAAATTCTTTTTTGCACTCTCTCGAGGTTCTCGAGGTGGATATCCTTTGGCCGCGTTGGGTAGCGAGGATTGGTGTGACGCGATCCACGCAGGCGTGTTTTCTGGCGGCCTTTTTGCACTCACTGGGTATCATCATCACATAGCGGACGGCGCCTCAGTCAACGGTATGGCGGGTGGAGTGCTCTCTACTGCCGCGGCGCCCCTGTCGGTTCGGAGGCGCCCGGCGGCCGCGCGCTTGGTGCCGACGTCGACCGGCTGCTCTCGCGGCGACGAGGCGTGCCGCTTCGGTCACGTCACGCGCGCTGCGAGGTGTCTTTTGGCATGTCAGCGCTACGCATAAACGCCAGGAAGCTCGCCTTCCTTGCCTGCGGCCGCGGGCGTGCGGGCGGGCACGCCAGGCTCGGCGACGCTCCGCGCGGGTCTTCGAGCTCGCGACCCGCGACGAGCCAGCATGGCTCGTCGCTCGACGGGAGCCTGCCCAGCATGCTCTCGGCACTCTGTACAGCCTTGTCGCCCGACGGCGAGACGCTCTACGTGGCGGATAACTACAACCACCGCATCCGCAAGATCGACACCTCCAACGGCCTCACCACCACGCTCGCCGGCTCGGGGACGGGCACCTTCGCCGACGGCACGGGCACCGCCGCGCGCTTCGATAGCCCGCGCGGCGTGGCGGTGTCGGGCGGGACGCTCTACGTGGCGGATACCTCCAACAAACGCATCCGCAAGATCGACACCTCCGGCGGCGACACCACCACGCTCGCCGGCTCTGACACGTACGGCTTCGCCGACGGCACGGGCACCGCCGCGAGCTTCAAGAACCCGCGCGGCGTGGCGGTGTCGCCCGACGGCGGGAGGGTCTACGTGGCGGATAATAACAACCACCGCATCCGCACGATCGACACCTCCGACGGCGTCACCACCACGCTCGCAGGCTCTGCGACGAGCGGCTTCGCCGACGGCACGGGCGCCGCCGCGAGCTTCAACTACCCGTACGGCGTGGCGGTGTCGCCCAACGGCATGACCGTCTACGTGGCGGATCGGACTAACAGACGCATTCGTCAGGTGACAGCATGATTGCCACCCACGCTTTCATTCGCTCCTAGTGGAGCGAGGATGCGCAGATCGACAGCCTCTCCACTTGAGGTGCCTTGAACACACGCTCCGCTGCCGTCGCCCCTCTTGTGTCGCCCCTCCCGTGTTGCGTTGCGGCCTGGCCCGTGCCCGCCGCCACCGTGTCCCGCTTCTTAGCGCGGAGGTTTCGAGACGCTCGCGTCAGGGTGAGACGCGACAGAGCCGAAGACCAACGTGTGAAAAGTGTCGTGATTGCTGCGCGGGTCCAGGGGGGATATATGGTTACGTCAGTAGGGGTCGGGAGGGGAGATTTGGGGTCGGCCAGAATAGCCCGTGTGCACGCTTTTTTGCTCACCACGCATCCTCTTACTTACATTCGAACACATACGGGCAGCGCCACGACTCTCACTAGGGGGGGGGGATATGGTGATTTTCAGAAAGTCGCCTCGGGCACAAAAACGAACACTGGCGCTGGGAGTACAGGTGCTGGGGATCACAATGGTATATCACTAAGAGTCTAACATGGTCTAGTACTGACACAGCGTCCCGACAAACACACTCAAAATTCTCACTGCTCCGTGTCCCGGCGGCACTGGCGGCGCCGAGGGTCGGCCGTGGGCGCCTCCACGGCGCCGAGCTCGCGAGGGTCATACCGCCAGCTGTACACCTGCTTGTGCGTCTTCGGGTTCCACTTCTTTGGCAGCAGGAACAGCCATTGCTCGCCCGCTGCCTCGTCGAACTCCGGGTCCGCGTCCCAAGCCCAGAGCACAGCGCCGGCCGGCAAGACCGACCTCGCACGCTTCGACCTCTTGTCAGAGAGCCCGTCAGCGACCCGGACGACGCGCCCCGTCGACCAGATCATGTGCGGCTGGTTCGTGTCCTTGTCGGTGTGCTTCCAGAGTACCTACCTGAGGGCGCGGCGGCACAGTGTGAGCGTGTGTCCCGACCGGACTACTCTACACGACTACGACGGCACACCTCGAGCCGCTTGCCGACAAGCGCCGAGTCGAAGGCGGGAGCCTTCTCCGGCTGCCTCCACTCCGTATCTGGAATCCCGACTAGACGGCGGGAGGGCGAGGCGAGGGTGGCTGCGGTGGATCATGAGGAAGTAGGAGGTCGAGCGCGAGCGAGCGAGCGAACGGCGAGATGGATCACGAGGAAGTAGAAAGTCGGGAGCGGGCGAGCGAACGGCGAGCGAGAGCGGCGAGGCGGCGGGAGGGTGAGGCGAGGGTGGTGGCGGTTCGGATCACGAGGAAGTAGAAACGGGCGGGCGAGCAAGCGGCGAGCGAGCAGCGAGGCGGCGGGAGGGTGAGGCGAGGGTGGTGGCGGGAGGAGGCTGGAGGGGGCGAGGGCGAGGGCGGGCGGGCGATAGGCGAGACGACAGGGCGAGCTGGCGTGGCGGTCGGCGGGAGGCGGCGGGAGGTGGGAGGCGAGGGCGATGGCGGGCGGGCGAGAGGCGACGGCGACGAGAAGTTGTAAAATCTTCTCGGCTTTGGGGAGGGTCCGGCGGGGAGGGCGGGGTGGGTCGGGACGGGGTGGGGCTTTGGGGAGGGGTCCGGGGTGGGGTGGGGTGGGGCGGGTGTCGGAGGAGGGGATTTCGGACGCCGGCTCTTGTGGCGAGGACGATGGCTTCTAAGGAAGCCGTCGTCTGCGCCTTGTCTGTCGTGTGAATCGTGCGTGTGCGAGGAGGGTGGTGAAATTCTTCTCGTGGTGTACCTGTGTTAGTGCCAGTGCGCGCCAGTCCCGTGCACACACACACACACACTCACTCCCGTGCCCAATGTTGTCCGAGGGAGTTTTGTTGTAAGATTCTTCTCGTGGAGCGCGCTCTCTTTGACTTGCACTTCTCGCTGAGCTTTCGCTTCTCGCAGGTTCGTCGGCGTCACACACCCGACTGACTTACCCAAAGCTGTCATCTCACCCACCACTGCCGCCACCGCTCAGGGTCGTCGGGATTCCAGATGGGCCGCCACCGCTCGACGCTCCGCGACCTCGGCTGGTCCGCTGGCAACTCGCCAAACCCGTGGAAGCATGGGAGCGCAAAACGTGTCGTGCGCGCGCTCGACTACGGCAGCATCGAGGTGGATGCGTATGCTCACTCGGCTCCCGACGACGCGCGGGGAGGTAAGCACGACGCACGCCTCGCAGCCTGCGACAGCGAAAAGCGCACGCCGCCTCGCCTCCTCTCTTAGGCCGCCTGCTCGACCGGATCTTCGAGCAGGAGTCGGACGGCGCAGGGCGCCAGCCGTTCCAGCGCGGGCGTGTCGCCCGTGCAGCATGCCGCACCCGTCCCGCAGCCCGCCACCTCACGACCCTCCGGGCGCTGCGCTCAGGCCGCCGCTTGAACGTGAGGGCCAGCGCGGCTCGGTGTCACAGCAGCAGCTGCTCGACTCGCAGCTGCGTGACGGGATGCGAGGAGAGCAAGGCCACCTGCGGCTCCAAGCCGCGGTGCAGCGCACCAAGCTCGCGGACCCAGCCACGCGGCCCGCGGCAGCCGAGGCGAGGCTCGGTGCGGCGGTACACGAGCCTAGAAGCGGAATCTCTCCCCATATCTCCCCATATCTCGGGCCCTAGAAGCGGAGTACGTGTTCATGTACCCCAACCAACACTCGAGAGGACTCGCATTCAACTGTATTCGGCCGTGTTCCGCTGTATTCCCTGCACTCGCACCCCCTCGTACTCACGCGGAGCTCTGAAGACGCCGCACACAACACCGCCTTCCCGCCCTGAGGTTGGCGTGTTAAGCGCGCAGGCGCCCGCGGCGCTGCAGCCGCGCCTAGAGCAGCGCTGTCCCGACGGCGCTGCGCCGCTCGGGGAGCGAGAGCGAGCGCTCGTGCAGGCGCAGGAGCGGGTCGCCGCGAGGGAGACGGCGGCGGCGCAGCTGCTCGCCAACGCCGCGCGCGAGCGGGCTGACCTCCGGGCCGCCAGGGAGGTGAGATATGGGGAGATATGGGGAGATATGAGCTGGCTGACCTCCGGGTCGCAAGGGAGGCATGCCCGCCTCCCCTACCCCCATAGCACCCGAACCCACCCCTCCCCCACGGTACTCTGCCCTGGCCGACCTCCGGGGCCGCCACGGAGGCGTTCACACACTCCCCCCCCCCCCCCGTCACCACCACCACCACA